CGCCAGCAATCGTCAGGCGATTGTGGAGATCGCAACGGAATGAGTATGGTTATAAACGTTTTTGCTACTACCTATACCATATTTAGCAAGTATGGCCGAGCACATTGGAATAAATCGAGGTCTGGATCCAGAGATCTCCCAAATCCTTCCAATACCAACACTGACAAAACAACGGATGTGAATGAAGAGTCGAGGTAGACGCGATATTTGGCTACTAATGCGAACATCTCCGATAATAGTGCAGAGATATCCAACTGAAATGGAGAATGATGCTATATTTTTCATATGTTTGGGAAGAGTAGCTAGGATGGTCAGTATCTGACAACTTCTTTTAACTTCTTCAAATCTTCTTAATCTTGCATTTCGCATAGCACAGAGCGGTGTGCGTGGGTCTTTGATGCTTGCTTGTGTTAAAACATAAAGATAGAGCCCTCAGATCGGGAAGAAATCAAAAAAAAAATAAACACAACCGTTATGGGGTCTCCAACAAAACCATATATACCAGGCATAACCCTTTCTATATACCCGGCCCTCGATAACCGAAATTATGATAGAGTGAGAAATATCTACAAAAATGGCCTTCTCAAAATTGGAATCATAAATTTTTCGAATCTCTGGTGCATGAATACGAGCAAGGAAGCATTTGCGCTGTCCTACTAATATAATGGTATAAATCCATCAATTATACTAGTACATTTGATCGATACATTGTCTTTGCGGTTTATGTCCAAGGATAGAGTAAAACAAAAGTGATCAATCTTGATAGGATTTTCTGAGCAGTATAATTAGGTAACGTCACATTTTTTAGAGATGTACAGATCTTTTCTTAAAACATTTTCTGAAAAAGTTGTAATCATCAGCCTACACTGGTATACTTCGCAATAATTTCGCATTTTTCAGATTAAGTGTCACCATCATCCATTCTCAAACCAAAAAATAAAGTTCTGAAGGAAAAAAAGGTAAAAAAGAAAAGGGAAGTCGGCTATCATAGGCAAAGGCGAGCAATGACTGCCATAGTTGTTATAAGGCAGTTCCTTTCGCATCCCATTCTCTCATTTTTTACGATTTTACGATGACAACTATACCATGATATATATTCTCTTAACCTCAAAGCCTCGAACAAAATATGAAAAGCTTATTTTGAACTGCCGAAGATACAAATAGGCATTGCCTTATAAAACCTACTTCTCTCAACGATCTTTCTTTCAACGCCTTCGATACCAATTTTTCTACTTGTTTGCAGAACTCGTGTGGATCCCGACAGTTTTTGTTATTGTCGGAATGGGAAAGCAATACCTGACCAGCTTTATACCCCTAAAATCGTTTTCATGAAAACAGTGATCGGACATCGTCGCAGGAAGTCGAGTAAAAATGTTGACATTGTACCTGCTTCTCCACGATTGCTTTGAAAAGGGCTTTGAGATTTTTCAAATTCTTTTCCGTCTCCGATACCACTAT